TAACTCCAGGTAACTCCAGGTAACTCCAGGTAACTCCAGGTAACTCGTGGAGCTTTTTTTGAGACGCAGACACACGGGACGCAAGACAGACACGGATCCAGATACACTCAGATTTGGGGAGATTTGTTCTTAACCCTTTAAAGCCTGATCCAAGAAAAATAGCAAGAATTTTCTATTTTTTTAGTCTGAAGTCTTTCTTTGGCCCCTCAACAGCATATGAAGAAAAAAAATAGAAATTATTTTGATCAAATTGTTCGTTAAATTGTTCGATCAGAGCGAGCTCGCCCTCCCTGTCCTACGGGGGTGCAGAAAAAACCACAAACAGAAACAGAGGAGGGCCGGGGTCACTTTTTTTAGGTAAACTCCAGGTAATTCCAGGTAACTCCAGGTAACTCCAGGTAACTCGCTGAGGTTTTTGAGGCGCAGACAGACGGGACGCAAGACAGATACACTCAGATTTGGGGAGATTTGTTCCTAATCCTTTAAAGCCTGATCCAAGGAAAATAGCAAGAATTTTCTATTTTTTTAGTCTGAAGTCTTTCTTTGGCCCCTCAACAACATATGAAGCAAAAAAACTGAAATTATTTTGATCAAATTAGAGTGGAATAAGTCAGAAATATGTTTTGGTGTGGTCTTCTACTGACTGTTATCAGGTATAACTGAATGTGTACAACAGGGGTTTGAGCAAAGCTTTTACCACTGAATGATGCAAAAAGTCTCAGATCCAAAAGACTTCAGAAACCGTATGTATCAAATATGACACATTTAGCATTATAGGGTTAAATTGTTCGATCAGAGCGAGCTCGCCCTCCCTGTCCTACGGGGGTGCAGAAAAAACCAGAAACAGAACAGAGGAGGGCCGGGGTAACTTTTTTTAGGTAAACTCCAGGTAACTCCAGGTAACTCCAGGTAACTCCAGATAACTCGCTGAGCTTTTTTGAGACGCAGACACACGGGACGCAAGACAGATACACTCAGATTTGGGGAGATTTGTTCCTAATCCTTTAAAGCCCGATCCAAGAAAAATAGGAAGAATATTGGATTTTTTTAGTCTGAAGTCTTTCTTTGGCCCCTCAACAACATATGAAGAAAAAAAACTGAAATTATTTTGATCAAATTGGAGTGGTATAAGTCAGAAATATGTTTTGGTGTAGTCTTCTACTGGCTGTTATCAGGTATATCTGAATGTGTACAACAGGGGTTTGAGCAAAGCTTTTACCACTGAATGATGCAAAAAGTCTCAGATCTAAAAGACTTCAGAAACCGTATGTATCAAATATGACACATTTAGCATTATAGGGTTAAATTGTTCGATCAGAGCGAGCTCGCCCTCCCTATCCTACGGGGGTGCAGAAAAACCAGAAACAGAACAGAGGAGGGCCGGGTCACTTTTTTTAGGTAACTCCAGGTAACTCCAGGTAACTCGTGGAGCTTTTTGAGACGCAGACACACGGGACGCAAGACAGACACGGATCCAGATACACTCAGATTTGGGGAGATTTGTTCCTAACCCTTTAAAGCCTGATCCAAAAAAAAAGAAAGAATTTTCGATTTTTTTTAGTCTGAAGTCTTTCTTTGGCCCCTCAACAACATATGAAGAAAAAAAACAGAAATTATTTTGATCAAATTAGCGTGCAATAAGTCAGAAATATGTTTTGGTGTAGTCTTCTACTGGCTGTTATCAGGTATATCTGAATGTGTACAACAGGGGTTTGAGCAAAGCTTTTACCACTGAATGATGCAAAAAGTCTCAGATCCAAAAGACTTTAGAAACCGTATGTATCAAATATGACACATATGGCATTATAGGGTTAAATTGTTGGATTTATTCTGCACTGTTGCTTTATGTGGATTTGATCACTTCTCATGTGGACTTTGGATAAATATGTGCTATGTTTGACAAGCTATTTCTGTCATACATTGATAAAAACCTGTTCTATTCTTTACATCGTCTTCCATAAATTCAGAAACAAGATTGTGTTAAAATTCAAGTGAAAAACGTATTAAATATTTTGGGTAGTTCCCTTAAATCACAGTTGTAGCAGATTTGGTTTTATTATCGTGTATATACAGGAAACTAAAGGGAAAATAATGACATATCTGAATACCCAGGCAGGTAACGGGGCCTATAGTGCTTGGAACGTGGCGGCCATCTTGAAAGCCGCCATATTGGATCAGGGGAAAGTTTTTCCAATGGGAACCTGATCATGACGCATATCAAAACAGACCAGAATTGTTCAGAAAAATGATTGCTGCAAGTAGATTTGCTAAATCTCTTATTGTTTGAAACATATCAACACAGAAGGCTGTAGAAATAACCGGAAATGTTCCCAGTGACGTTCAGTTGAATGTGATTTTTTGTTTTTTTCTGCTTTAATGATGCAGTAAAAAAGTGGGAAAAATGTACGCTATTATGTGGGAAGATATAGAAAAGATGTATTGATGTGACCACTTGGGCTACTGATGCATTATGGTTCTTTTAGACTTATGTACATATTTTATATGAATATATATAAATCAGGTTGAAAACAAACATCTAAAATGGCGTTGAGTTCATATCAGAGTATTTTTTTTTTTTAACTGTACACACATATTTTTCTGATTTGTGGTTTTAATGTGCAGAGAGATAAACACTGTCTAATAATAATAACAAGAATAAGAATCAATAAATATCTTATTGCTCAGTTTAACTGTGACTAGAAACATTACAGAAGAACTTACTGAGTTTACATTATACAGTTTGACTTCCTCTAAAGAATATAAACCCCAGTAAGTACTGCTGGTATGCAAATGCAGAATAATTTGTATAATAAATAGCCAAAAAATAGGTAATGTTCTTTCTGAATAACAAAGGAGTCAATCTGAAGAGCCATTTTTCAGGTAATTAACCTCACATAAAATTCAAAAACTGAGGTTTTATTATGCAAGTGCATGCATTTTCTAAGTGCCCATTTGCATCCAGAAAAAGCCAAATAAAGAAAGAAAACTTGGTGGAGGAACAATGCTGATGATTTAATGATAAAATGTGTCATTTTTTCGAAGGCATCAAATGAACTTCACACGATCAGAATCCCTTTCATCCCAAGAAAACTCTCCTTCTTCCATTACTAATTTTGTTCAGCCAGGCTCACTTTGAAGTCTACAATTCAGAAATGTTTCAACCAAACTCTCCCCAAAGCTTCGCACGAGAGACGCCAGACAGAGAACAAACGGCCAAAGCCAAAGATCGATAAAAGAACAGGAAAACAGACAGAGAAGCCATTGAAACAAGAGACAACCGCCCTCCATCATAACCGGGTTCTGTTAACAGCAAAAGCCGCAAATATACAAAATCTGGAGACACAAAAAGCTTCCAGACTCACACCGAGGACTCAAACCACAAAACAAACCACAAAATACACATTTAAAACCCAAAACATGTTGAAATATGCATTTTTCAGGAACCACAACCCCCTTTGTGATCACTAATATTTAAATAAACAGTCATAAGAGCTGCTGTTTTTGGAATAGCACATCAATCTGAGCAGAAAATAACAAGGGCATCGGTCTGTTACAGGCAGTATTAGTTGTCACAGTTATTTTGTTATCAGACGTTTTTCCCCTTGAATGCTTTTTTAGATAAAGTAAGAAAAAATAAAACCATTTGGTTCGACGTTTTTGAGGACCCTGACCTGTCAGATAAGGATAACATAACATAAATCAAGTTCGTTAAAACCAACTTTTTGGACTGCATAACAGCTTCTTGTACCACCATAAATGTAGCTGTTAGCTCGTTAGCAAGCTAAGCTAGCATTAACTGTAAAAGTTGGTTTTCGAAATGCCAATGCTTCATTGCACTTTCTAATGTTGGACTGGGACATTTTAGGTTCACTTCCAGGTTTATTTTCTCACTCTAGAGTTTAACTAGAGGATTTTTGTAGGTTAAATCATCCTAAACAAGCTGCTTTAGCTCTTTTAGCTAAAGCAGCTAAAGCTTTAGCTAGTTTCCCCCTCTACTGTCCTGCACCATCAGAACTGGGAAAACTTTTGCTATTCACAGCTATCTTAAGTAAACCTGCTTTACTGTCACTACCTCTTGACTTGGACATCTAATTCTAACAGTGATCTTGTTATTTGCCAATTTAACTCTTCTTAATTTTTGAAAAAACGATCTTTTTAGCTCCCTCGGAAAATAAAAATGTTTTACAAAAAGGGTAAATGAAATATGAGAGAAGCTAATGTCTGTATTAAAAGTAGGAGGTACTTAATTGGTAAGTTTTTGTGCTTCTATGGTCATTACATAGTAAAATATCAAATATAATAGGTCCCTATAAAGAAGTAGATCATTTATTAACATTTTGAAAATACAAAGCGGGCCAATTCCTTCTTTCTATATCAGTTTCCTGCAAAATTGGAAATTTAAATGCTGTTATCCCTGTTGTAAGACACCTGGTGACCCCTATATTTGACTCTTTGTTTATTCATCACACCTTTCTGGATTGTGTGTGAACTTAAATAGTCATTTTTTTTGCATATGAATAATGCGTGGCACACATTTAAGTACAAAAAAAATTAGAAAAATCTGATCTGGAGCCCAGCAGGTGAAATTTAGAGGCATAAAATCGGGGGGAAAAATGGGGGCGTCTGAGTGCTTTGCGGCCCTGAGGAGACGCCCCCCGCCTTTGCATGAGCGTGCATGTGCACGTGCACGCGCACGTGCACGTGGACCCACCTTCAGGGTGGAGGTGAGAATGCGGAGGCGGTGCAGGCGCTCGTTGAGCTGCGGGTCGGCGGCCCGGCGGAGGAAGGACTGCCTACACTGGGACTGGCCCTTTCCCTGGGGGGGCCGGCCCAGGGGGCAGACCCCGCCCTGCTCACAGGCGCGGAACAGGTCGCCCAGAGACGCCCCCTCACCTCCACCTGGGTCACAGTGGGAGGGAGAACGGGTTCAGAGGGGGAGGTGATAAAGGAGGTGACTAAAGCCTGGAGGTAGAGGAGTGACTTTAATCTAGAGGCAAAGGAGGTGACTAGAGGAAACTCCTCAACTCGCATCAGTCTGAAAGTTTGAGGCCTGAGGAGGTGCCTGGAGGATAAGGAGGTGACTAAAGCCTGGAGTTAGAGGAGGTGACTAAAGCTTGGAGGAAGAGGAGGTGACTGGAGGATAAGGAGGTGAGTAAAGCCTGGAGGAAGAGGAGGTGACTTTAATCTAGAGGCAGAGGAT